CATGGAAGGTAGCCAGTGTTCTTCCCTATGTCATCATGCAAATAAGTCTAGGACATTTTCCAACACTCTATGGTGCTTTTTCTTTAAAAAAATATTAAAAAGTATATAAATGACTCAGATTCTGTTCTGAGATAAGTGGTTTTAACTTTTAGTGACTTATCTTCCTGACTTTAAATAGTAGGAAATCCATCTCAGGTGATGGCAATTGCTGTCATGCCTTCATCACCCAGATGTCCTCACCTCCCTAACAGTTACAGTCTGTGAGGGTAGACATTTTTGTTTTATGGTTTAGAATGAATGTGATTGGATACAGGCTAGAGAAGATCCCTCCTCCTCCTCCTCCTCCTCCTCAAAATGATTCTCTGTAGGATTTGTTAGATTTACTGGTGCAAACTACCCATAGAGGAATCTGTTGCACCTTGTATCTTTCAGGTGAATGACTCAAAGTATAGTACTGAGATGAGAAGAGTCAGAACTAAGGACAAAGACATCCTAAAGCAGCACTTTGTAATAAGGGACCAACTAAAATTCCATAAAAATAACACAGAAGAACCCACATGTTCAAAACCTCTTATTTTGGAAACTAGGACAAACCCAGTAGGATTGGTAACACTAATAGTCAGTGGACTACAGAAAGCCGCTTGTATCTGAGAACCTTTAAATCTAGCACACTTCCCGGAATTTATTGACTGGTTTACAAAGTTGGATATTGTCACAGTTTCAAAAGGTCAAAATAAGGCAGAAAATGTCCATTAGTCATTGATGGTATTCTGTGGGACTGGACAGCAGGCTATACAGGGGAAGAACTGAAGGTAGAGCTGTCCTCCTGGAACGAAGAGCTGTCACCTCCGGATGCCTGCAGAGTGGTTTTAGGCTGCTCTGAAGGTAGAGCTGGGAGAAGGGGCTGGCAGGAGACTTTGGTTCAGTGGTAGACCTTGACTGTAGCCTCGGCTAAATGCTAGCTGAAATGGCGAACAGCCTCTTGGAGAAGTGAGTGTGGTTTGTTACTGGAAATATTCAAATGGAGCTTAAATAACCATCTATATGACAGATTCCTGATTTTAGTACAAGATCGTATCCTCTTGATGACTAAAATCACTTCAAAGGAATTACAAAATAATCCCTTTTAGAAGTAGTAAGAAATTATATGGAACCTTTTTACCCCAAAGCTATGTTTACAAAAAATAGCTCTTTCTCTGTTTAATGCAGAGGCGCTAACTTTGTTAATAAAATCTCCCTGTAAAATTGCAGAGATTATTTTTTGTTAATACTTTTCATCATGGCTACTCAATAACATTCACAGTGGGAGCCTGTATGCAAATGGGGCCTCTGATAAACCTTTTCAGAAAGAATTTGTTTCTAACCTGTCAGAGTTGGATTTCTCACTTCAGCAAAAAAGTAGTTTTTATTCAGTGTGTTACAGGAATGTGTGAGTATATGTGAATGTAGTGTAAATGACCACTATAGATTATCTATTCCTTGTTAAATAGCTTTAATGAAATCAACTACTTGTGTTTGCACCAAAGTACATTGGAATCCACAGGTTTTATGTAGTGCTTTCGCTAGAATACAAAATTATTAGAGGGAAACGAAAAACTAGATTGACTATATAAGATTTAAAATGGTTTTGAAGCCATTTTTATGGGAACATTCAGCTTTGGGCATGACAGAAGCAAGGAGGAAGCCCAAAAGGGAGGCATTGAGAAAATTCAGAATGAAATATATAAAAAGGTAACACTGCTCTTACAAAACCTACCTGCAGAGGGAGCTGTTGCGCCATGTGTCTTCCAGGTGGAAGACTGGAAATATATCTCTGATTTAAAAATTTTGTTTATCCGAAGAGAACATATACTGCTTATAAGATTAGCAGGCAAATATGCTAATCATTTTATCATCTTCCAAAAAAAACGACAAATATTGAAGTTAATTTGCAGTGTGATTATTACAAATTGATTTCTATTCCATGGAGTACTGCTTAATAAAATTGTTTTTCATCCCAGTTGAGCAGACGTTGATTCATATAATTGAATTCTATCTTGAACGAATTGTAAATGGCATCCTGTATTCTTTAATGTGCCACGTGGTTTTAAAGCGGGCAATCTGGACTTTGCCGTGGCTCCAGTAAATATTGGCATAATCTCAGTGACACTGGTGACATCTTTTTCACACAGTGACCTTTCGGCATTAAATGTTTACACATTTCATTAACTGAATTTTTGGTTTTTGCAATAACGTGTCTCATTTCTACCTGTATTGTGCAACATTCTGGTAATTGTTAATACTTTTCATCATGGCTACTCAATAACATTCACAGTGGGAGCCTGTATGCAAATGGGGCCTCTGATAAACCTTTTCAGAAAGAATTTGTTTCTAACCTGTCAGAGTTGGATTTCTCACTTCAGCAAAAAAGTAGTTTTTATTCAGTGTGTTACAGGAATGTGTGAGTATATGTGAATGTAGTGTAAATGACCACTATAGATTATCTATCCCTTGTTAAATAGCTTTAATGAAATCAACTACTTGTGTTTGCACCAAAGTACATTGGAATCCACAGGTTTTATGTAGTGCTTTCACTAGAATACAAAATTATTAGAGGGAAACAGAAAGCTAGATGACTATATAAGATTTAAAATGGTTTTGAAGCCATTTTTATGGGAACATTCAGCTTTGGGCATGACAGAAGCAAGGAGGAAGCCCAAAAGGGAGGCATTGAGAAAATTCAGAATGAAATATATAAAAAGGTAACACTGCTCTTACAAAACCTACCTGCAGAGGGAGCTGTTGCGCCATGTGTCTTCCAGGTGGAAGACTGGAAATATATCTCTGATTTAAAAATTTTGTTTATCCGAAGAGAACATATACTGCTTATAAGATTAGCAGGCAAATATGCTAATCATTTTCTCATCTTCCAAAAAAACGACAAATACTGAAGTTAATTTGCAGTGTGATTATTACAAATTGATTTCTATTCCATGGAGTACTGCTTAATAAAATTGTTTTTCATCCCAGTTGAGCAGACGTTGATTCATATAATTGAATTCTATCTTGAACGAATTGTAAATGGCATCCTGTATTCTTTAATGTGCCACGTGGTTTTAAAGCGGGCAATCTGGACTTTGCCGTGGCTCCAGTAAATATTGGCATAATCTCAGTGA